GCCCGGATCTGCCGGGTCACGCCGGATGCCGGCAACCCAGGAGCTGGTCGAACACCTCCTGAAAGTCCCTCCGAGGAGGCCTCACTCTGCCAGCGGACCCCCATCTCCCCCCCTCCTTCAACATTTCCAACGCCCGGAGGCGACCCAACAGCGCCCCAAGACGGGCCAAGATATCCCCAACACCGCCCAAGAGAGCCTCCAGAAGACTCCAGTCCGCTCGAAGACGCTCTAGACGGCACCAGGCGGTCCACGACGCCTCCAAGACGCTCCAAGAAGCCTCCGAGACTCTGGAAATCGCAAGGGCACCCGAAGAACCACAAGGGCACCCGAAGGCACCCGAAAGCACCCGAAGGCACCCGAAGGCACCCGAAAGCACCTCAGAACCCTCTGACACCAGGAGTGCCCACAAGGCTCCCGTTGATAACTCCCACCACACACTTCCCCAAACCTTCCAAGAATAGCCGGAGAATCCCATACATTCGCATGGACGCTCCGCAAAACTCTGAAGATTTCCAGAGAACCCGAAGAAGCAGAAGGGCACCCAAAGGCACCCAAAGGCACCCGAAGGCACCCGAAGGCACCTCGGAGACATCCAACAACGGGATGGCACCCGCAGGGCTCCCGTTGAGCACCCCCTCCGAATGGACATCCCCGAAACCAGAAACACACCAGATAGCGTTTTGAAGTCACCTGAAGGGCCCGTGACCCCCCTTCGCCAGAATCATCATCACCGCCATGGTAAGAATCGCCAGAATCAGCATCATCAGAAGGTCCTCGAAACTCTGGGGATCGCCAGGGCACCCGAGGAACCACAAGGGCACCCGAAGGCACCCGAAGGCACCTCAGAACCCTCTGACAACAAGGAGCGTCCACAAGGCTCCCGGTGATCACTCTCACAACACACTTCCCCAAACCTTCCAAAGAATAGCCAGAGAATCCCATACATTTGCATGGACGCTCCGCAAAACTCTGGAATTTCCAGAGCACCCAAAGACGCAGAAGCGCACCCGAATGCACCCGAAAGCAACCGAAGGCACCCGAAAGCACCTCGGAGACACCCATCACTGGGATGGCACCCGAAAGGCTCCCGTTGAGCACTCCCTCCGAATGGACACTCCCGAAACCAGAAACACACCCGATAGCGTTTTGAAGGCACCTCAAAGGCCCCTTACCCCCCTCCGCGATATCAGCATCTATGGGCCCTCCAGGGCACTCGAAGGAACGCCAGGGCACTTGAAGTGCACTCGACACCGATATGGCAACCGCAAACCACCCAACGAATATCGAGGGATTCCCACCTATGTGAAGAGAAGGTCCACGAACCACCAAGGATCGCCAGAGCACCCGAAGAACCACAAGGGCACCCGAAGGCAACCGAAGGCACCCGAGGGCACCTCAGAACCCCCGAACACCAGGATGGCAACCGCAAGGCCTCCGTTGAGCACTCCCACCACGCACTCCCCTGAGCCTTCGTATTGTATCCGGATATTCCCATGCATTCGCATAGAAGCTCCGCGAAACTCTAAGGATCTCCAGGGCACCCGTTAGCCGGAGAACCTCATTTTCTAAACTGCATCGTTCACAATCCGCCAACCCCTGCTTGCCGGGAATGAAAAGGCGCGTGAGACATTTGGCTGCCCCCCTCCCCCTTTCCCCCTCCCCGGGGGCCGAAGACGGCCCAAGAGGGCACTGAGACGGCCCCAGGGTCACCCAAGACGACCCTAGAGAGTCCCGAGAGGGCCCTAAGAGAGCCCAAAAAGGGATATACGAACTGACAGTTCGAGCCTTTCCCCCCAAGATGGCCCAAAGAGCCCCCCACGGCGCCCCGAGACGCCCCCAAAAGAGGCCCCCAAGGGACCCCTAAATGACTCCCAGCTGCCCCCAAGAGCCCTCAAAGAGGCCCCTGAGAGAAATCCCAAGCGGCCCTAATATTCATCCAATTCATCCACGCGGCTCCTGGCCAACAGCCCAGGCACGGTGGCGGGTTGGGCTGAAGTCTACTGACTTCCACGATCGTCGCAAGCTCTGACTCCTTCTGGGGGTCGGCGGAATGGTCTAAGCCACTGCACAGACAGAAACCGAGGAACCCCTGGAAAGAGCCGGAAAAGCATGCGAATTCACCCGACCAGCGCCCGAAGTGAACCTGCGGGCACTCGGAACTAGCTTCTCTTGAAGGCACCCAATTTCACCGGAACCCACAGGGAACCAGAGAACCGCCCGAAAATCATGCGAAATTCATACGTAAACCAACTCACGAGAAGCCATGCTCAGCGGGGCTGCGCGGGAAGCCGCCTGCGTAGTCGAGGCCGACACGGGCGTCGACGGCACCCGAGCGCACGCGAACGGCACCAAGAGGGCGCCCGAAGGCACCCGCAAGGCACCCAAAGGCACCCGCAAGGAACCGAAAGGGCACCCGAAAGCACCCGCAAAGCGCCCGCAAAGCACCCGAAGGCACCCGCAAAGCACCCGCAGGGGCACCCGAAGGCACCTGAAAGAAACCGCAAGGCACCCGAAGGCATCCGTACAACACCGAGAAGCACTGGAAAGTGCGCGAGTAGTTCCCACGGGGCGCCCGACAACATCCGAGACGCTCCACCCACACAGCGTTTGGCAGACCCCCCGAAGGGATAGGCAGGCACCCGGAAAGCGCCCGAAGGAACCCGAAATGAACCCAAAGAACACCCGAAGGAACCCGCAAAGCTTCCGAAAGGCACCCGAAGGCATCCGCAAGGCACCCAAAGGGCGCCCGAAAACATCCGCAACGCACCTGGAAAGGCACCCGCAAGGAACCCCAAAGGGCACCCGAAGGCATCTGCAAAGCACCGCAAACCCTCGAAGGCACTCGCAAGGCACCCGAAGGCACCCGCAAAGCACCGAAAGAGCACCCGAAAGCACCCGCAAGACCCCGCAAAGCACCCGAAAAGCACCCGGAAGGCACTCGCAAGGGCATCCGAAGGCACCCGGAAGAAAACGCAAGGCACCCGAACGCACTCGTACAACACCGAAAGGCACGGGAAGGTGCGTGAATACCCCACGGGGCGCCCAACAACATCCGAGACGCTCCACCCACACAGCGTTTGGCAGACCCCCCGAAGGGATACACAGGAACCCACAAAGCGCCCGAAGGCACCCGAAAAGAACCCAAAGAACACCCGAAGGAACCCGCAAAGCTCCCGAAAGGCACCCGTGGGCACCCGCAAGGCACCCAAAAGGGGCTTGAAAACACCCGCAACGCACCCGGAAGGCACCCGCAAGGAACCCCAAAGGGCACCCGAAGGCATCTGCAAAGCACCGCAAACACCCGAAGGCATTCGCAAGGCACCCGAAGGCGCCCGCAGGGCACCGAAAGAGCACCCGAAAGCACCCGCAAGGCACCCGCAAAGCACCCGAAGGCACCCGCAAGGCACCCGAAAGGGCACCCGAAGGCACCCCGAAGAAACCGCAAATCACCCGAAGGCATCCGTACAACACCGAAAAGCACTGGAAGGTGCGTGAATAGTTCCCACGGGGCGCCCGACAACATCCGAGACGCTCCACCCACACAGCGTGTGGCAGACCCCCCGAAGGCACCGGCAGGCACCCGCAAGGCGCCCGAAGGCACCAGCAAGGCTCCCAAAGAACACCCCAAGGGACCCGAAAGGCACCCGCAAGGCACCCGAAGGCACCCGCAAGGCACCCAAAGGGCACCCGAAAGCACCCGCAACGCACCCGGAAGGCACCCGCAAGGCGCCCGCAGGGGCACCCGAAGGCATGTGCAAAGCACCGCAGGGCACCCGAAGGCACTCGCAAGGCACCCGAAGCACCCGAAAGGCACCCAAAGAGCGCCCGAAAGCACCCGCAAGGCACCTGGAAAGCACCCGAAGGCACCCGCAAGGCACCCGCAAGGGCATCCGAAGGCACCCGGAAGAAACCGCAAATCACCCGAAGGCATCCGTACAACACCGAAAAGCACTGGAAGGTGCGCGAATAGTTCCCACGGGGCGCCCGACAACATCCGAGACGCTCCACCCACACAGCGTGTGGCAGACCCCCCGAAGGCACCGGCAGGCACCCGCAAGGCGCCCGAAGGCACCCGAAAGGCCCGCAAGGCACCCGCAAGGCACCCGAAGGCACCCGCAAGGCACCCAAAGGGCACCCGAAAGCACCCGTAGCGCACCCGGAGGGCACCCACAAGGCACCCGCAAGGGCACCCGAAGGCATGTGCAAAGCACCGCAGAGCACCCGAAAGCACTCGCAAGGCACCGACAAGGACCCGATAGCACACGCGAGGAATCCGCAAAGCACCCGCAAGGCACCCGCAAAGCACCCAAAAGGGCACCCGCAGGCACCCGCAGGGCACCGCAAAGCACCCGAAGGCACCCGCAAGGCACCCGAAGGCACCCGTACAACACCGAAAGCCACTGGAAGGTGCTTGTAGTTCCCACGGGGCGCCCGACGACATCCGATACGCTCCACCCACGCAATGTTTGACAGACCCCCCGAAGGCACCAGCAAGCGCCCGCAAGGCGCCCGAAGGCACCCGAAAGGCGCCCAACGGGCACCCGGAGCGCCCGTAAGGCACGCGCGAGGCACCCGAAGGCACCCGCAAAACACCGCAGGGCACCCGAAAGCATCGGCAAGGAAGCCGAAAGGCACCCGCAAGGGACCCGGAAGGGCACCCGAAGCATCTGCCAAACACCGCAGGGCACCCGAAGGCACCCGCATGGCACCTGAACGCACACGACCAACACCGAAAGGCACTGGAAGGCACGCGAGTACTTCCCACGGAGCACCCGAGAACGTCCGAGACGCTCCACCCACAAAGCGTTTGACGGACCCCTACAAAGCACCGGCGGGGCACCAGACAATCCCAGAAAGGAACGAGGCACCCTGGGGCTCCCGACAGCTTGTAGAAGCACGCCGAGAAACTCGCCGGCCTCTCCCCGCCCCTTGTCTCCCTCTCCCTGCCCCTCCTGCTCCTTCCCCCCCTCCCCCTCCCCCTCCCCCTTCCCGCCCCTGCCCTAAAAGCCGTTGCTGGGCGCGCCGCCCGCGCTCTCAGCCGCGCTGCCGCGCTTGCCTGGCCCCTTGCCGCTGGCTTGGCCCGGCGCGGCCTTTCCCGGCGCCGTGCTCGCGGCCTGCGCGTTGCCGCCAGCCTTCCCGCCAGCGCCCTGGGCGGCGCCGCCCGGCGCCCCGCCCGCGCCCCCTGGCCCGTGGCGCGGCTTGCCCTGCCCCTTGCCGCCGCCGCCTCGTTGGCGGCGCGCGGGAGGGCCGAGCGCGTCGGCAGCCTTCGAAAAACGCAGCCCCCTGGTAAGCGTTCTGCTGAAGCCTACTGCAAGGCATCAGCTCTCTCCGTAGGAGGCCGCCGTCATCCTTCGAAGGCCGCCCCCCGCGCCGCCCCCGCCCGCGCGCCGAGGGCCTTTGCCGCGGGCCTGGTCTTGCTCCCTGCGCCCCGAGCAACTGTAGCAGGCCTGCGCCTTCAGCTTCAGCTCGTGGTTCTCTTGCAACAGCCTCGCGTTCTTCTCGTGGAGCTCCTGCGGGGACCGTGCCCGCAAACGCCAGCCCGTCGCACTCGGAGAGCCCTGCGCGCGCACTTCGGAACGCACCGTGCCCAGGCGTTCGAGGAGCTGCGCGGGGCTCTCCCCTGGTGCGCGGGCGATTGCGCGCGCACTCCCCGGCGCCGAGTTCTTCTGGTGGAGCGCCACCTGCCCCTGCAAAGCCAACTCCTTCTTGCCCGGGTAATCCACGCCGTCGACGTGCTGGCCGCCGTGGTACATCGTGGCCCAGTAGTTCACCTGCGCCTGGAGCTCTGACGTTTCGCGCGTCAGGCGGTGGCCCTCCGTCGTCAGGCCCGCGCACCTTGCAGAACAAGTGCGGTTCTCGGTGCGACCCGGCGCCCTCGCGCGGAGAAGTCTGAACTTCCCCCCGCGAGCGCGCTTAGCGGCCGTCACCCGATGGACTGACCTGGTCTCCAGCCTCTCCTTGGCCGCCTCTGCGTCGAGCGCCTCCTGGCGCGCCTGCGCCAGCTCCGCGCGCGCCGTCGCGAGCTCTGCGTCGCGCTCGCCCAGCGCCGTCGCCGCGGCGGCGGCTTCCTGGCGCGCCTGTGCTAGCTCCTTCCGCAACCTGTCCGCCTCCGCGCCGCGCGGCGAGCTCCCCGCGACCCCCGGCGCCGCCGCCGAGCTCGCCGCCGCCGCCCGCGCCGGAGCCGCTTCCGGCGCCGCCGCGGCTGCGCGCGGCGGCGCGTCGGGTTCCGCGCTCGCGGACTCGTTGTCGGAGCTCTCCGAGCTCTCCGAACCGCCCGAGCTTCTCGAGGAGCGCGTGCGCGAGCGCGGCGACCCGGCCGCGCTCCTCGGCGCCGCTGCCGTCGCCGCCGCCCGCCGCGCCGGCGCGGCGGCCGCGGTCGTCGGCCTCGCGGCACATCGAAGACACGTCGCCGCACCGACCACCTCCAACCTGTCTTGCCGACGCCCACGTGTAGCAATACACGCGCGCGCCGCCGAGACAAGCCGGCGGCAGCGGCGCGGTGACGTCAATGACTGCGCAGCCTGGCGCCCCTGTTTCTCTGGGCCGTGACCGTGGCGCCGTCCTTGAGGGTGTCGCCCAGCGGCAAGTCCAGAGGCAGCGGCTTGCCCCGCGCGCGCCCCTCGGGGAGATCCGCTTCCCGCCTTTCTACGCGCGAATGCAACCTCCGGCACGGGCGAAATTTCTAAGCCAACGCCAGCCAGGTGGCAGATAGTCACAGCGACGCCCATGAAATAGCTGGCGCTGGAAGGGAGGAGAGGCAGGGTGACTGAAAAAGACAAGAGGGGCCGGGAGGGAAGGACAGCACGAGCAAGAGCTTCCGCCGCCGCTTCCTGCCGCCGACGCTGCCCTTGGCCCTCGGCTCTGGTTTTTCTTCAAAACGTGGGCTCCTGGGAAAGAACGAGCGGCCCCGCGGGCGAGCGCGGCTTCACCCGAAAATGTGCGGCGGTGCAGAGACCGCGGCGGGTCCACTCGGGAGCGGCGCGCCCGCCCACCGAACGCGCGAGCTCAGACAATAAATTTCGCCGTCTGCGGAGGAAGTATTCGCATGTATTTGGGGCGAGAAGGTATCGCCAGCCTCGTTCTGGAAGGTCGCCGCCTTAAACGTCCAGCCGAACTTGTCCCAGATGGCGGCTAGAAGCTCCGCCCCGGTGGCCGACGAGTCGATGGCGATAACGTCCGACTTCGAGTGGCCGTTCACGGCTAGCAACTTCAGCATGACCATGGCGGCGGCCGTGAAGAGCTGCCAGAAACTAAAATTTGAACCACAAGTATTGCCAATTACTTTCAACACCACCCATACCCTGCTACCTTCTCTTCCTCCTCCTCCTCTTCCGTTTTTCTTCCTCTGACTCCTCTCCCTCCCCGGTCCCCAAGAAGGCCTCCGAAGGGGCGAAACGGCGCAAAGGCGCCCCAGGACGGCCCAAGACGCCCCCAAGAGGCCCAAAGAGGTCCCCAAAAAGCCCTCCAGAAACCCCAACAAACCCCCAAGAGGCCTCAAAGAGGCCCCACAGAGGCTCTCAAAGGGCCCCACAACGACAGGACTCAGCGGCCAGCTGACGGTCTGGACCAGGTGCAGTGCAGCGGGCGGCTCATTGCAAGAACTCCGCTGGGCGCACCGCACCTCCAACTGCAGGCACGCGAGGAGGGAGGAAGGAGGGCAGTGGCCCCGAGGTAGAAGATTTCGTGCAAAGGGCGATTGCCGAACATATAGGCCAGCCTTGTACTGACACGCGGAGAATGCTCATTCACCTCGTGGACATTCGCACGCTCGTCCCAGCGCTGAAACTGAGGGGGGCGCATCCGCCCCCCGTGGCGCTGGCGGCGCCCGGAGGTGGGCAGACCGGCACTGCGGGCAGACCACCCAACGCTCGGTCTGGACGTGCTCCGGACGTGCACCCCGCGAAGCGAGAGGAATCGTATCTCCTAGAGCTTTCCGGGAACATGATTCCTTGGGCTTCCGTCCACCGCCCCAACCATGTGTCCAGTAGCTTGCCGACAAGGCCAAAAAGGGCCCCTCGGTAAGCCCCCACAGGCCCCCCTGTTAGGAGAGCCGAACAAATCATGTTCCCGGAAAGCCACGTTCCCGGAAAACTTCCCGGGAACATGATTCTCGGGTTGCCGCCTTCTCCCCAAACCATGTTCCCTAAACGCCCGCCAGGATAAAAACACGAGAGTCCCAAGCAGCGCTACCTGCCGTCACGCTCGGAAACGCGTCAGGTTCCGAAGCCTCCGGAGGCGCCCAACGACACCCCAACAAATCATGTTCCCAAGAAGTCTTACGGTCAGTGCGGCCGATGTTGAAGGAGGACGGTCAAGGACACCCAGAAATCTCCCAAACAGGCTTCCAAGAGGGCGCCGAGACAGCCCAGGGCCGCCCCCAGACGGCCCAAGAAAGCCCCAACACAGACGAAAAGGGCCGCAAGAGGCCCCCAGGAGGCCCCGAAACGAGGACACATCGTTCGAACGCGCCCAAAATGGCCCCCAGACGGCCCACAAGGCTTCCAACACGGCCCAAAGGGACACCAAAATCATTGATTGTCCTTCGATTTTTGATGGATTTCAGACACCCCACGAGGGCGCCGAGACGGCCCACGAGGGCGCCGAGACGGCCCAGGGACGCCCTGCCGCGGGCACGAGATGGGGCCCGGGATGGGGTCCTCGCGCCGGGAGGCCCGGGGGCCCTGCCGTGGCGCTGGGGGCCTTGTAAAGTCGCCAGAAGACAGCCCTGGATTGCCAGAAATGGCGTTTCCAGACAACGAACACGACCACTGACCGACCGAGATCACCCCAGACTTGGCCCCTGTCCACGAGGCTTCCAAGACGCCCCAAGAGGTCTCCAAGATGGCTCCGAAGGAGCCCCAGGAGGCACAACTAATTTGTTTTCCTTCTTGGTTGTTGATCGATTTTCGAGTTCTCGCCTTTTGAGTTTCCTGACGCCCCACGACGGCCCAAGAGGCTTCAATTTCCGCTCCAAGGCATCCCCAGAGGCCTCGAAGACGGTCTCAAGACAGCCCACGGGGGTCCCAAGACGGCGCCATTTTTTTTGCCCACGCTGCAGCCCACATACACCACTCAGGGTGGGCGAAACCCCGAGGGAAAACAGACACTGGCGCATCCGACCGCAAAGGGCAGTCGGTACGGACACGTCTGCGACAGAGAGGTGGGTGAGCCTGGGCGCTAACCGAGACCAGGCAACAGAGACCCACCTGAGACCCACCTCTGAGTGGCCCCATCACAGGCACACGGGGCCCAAGGGGACCCCGCTACACCTGGACGGGGGCCAGCAGAGGCACGCAGGGCGCCGTGCTGCGATCCTCCCATGAGGAAACGAAACTAAGAGGCACTCGACACAGGGGGACGCGGCACCGAACCCACCAGGAGTTAGGCGGGAACAAGCGAAAGCCACCCGTGGAGTGTGCCTCAGCACCCGCAGGCCCTCGGCTGCACAGAGGTCGAGCGGAAATGCAGGCCACGGCTGCGAGCATGTCGGGGCGGGAGCCGCGCCCCTGCCTCAGCGACATCTCCAACACGTAGCCGTGGGTCGACAGCCCCTGAATAAAAAGGTGGGCCCCTTCACGAAACGCACGCGTGCACGCGCGCGAAACGAGAGAAGGGCCAGGCGCTGGGGCCAGGGACAACTCACCAGGCCACAGCAACGCCAAGGGAGCAACAGGCGGGATAAGCGCACCCCCGAGCTCCCTAATAGACAACCAAGACAAGGCGCACACTTCCCCCGAAAGTGGGGTGCCTGACACTCGTGCACAACGAACGAATCCGAAACGGGCTAACACAAGGACGACGAGGCTGCCCCATGTGCTGAAGCGCCTGGACGACAAACCTCGCCCCAGATGTACAGCCAAGCGAAGAACTAAGCAGGTAAGAATAAAATTCGACCACCCACACAAGGGCGACGAGAAAACCAGCCCCTGGCGCAACAAGCGCCAGGACGGCCGCTGATCTCGCCCCAGATGTGGGGTATAGCACGGATGCCTGCCATAAAGGCCAGACGCATCGGGCCGTGCAAATAGAAAACGCAAAACAAAAGTACAACAAGAAAGCCGACAGGGTCCCTTCAACTTTCTAGTCCGAGTCCGAGGACGACGGAAACTCAGGACAGCCGCCAGCAGCCCGGACCAGTCTATTAACTTTCGATTGAAAGGTTGGGGCACAGGCCGACCGAGCAGGAACAACAAGGGGCTCTAGGTCGCCTTCATCCTCAGGAGCCGCAGCCGTCGGAGCAGCAACAGACTCGAACACATCATCGACACCACTAATTGCTTCTCCAATGGGAGGGGCCCTGGGAAGACCATCAACAAACACTCGAACCTGGGACTTGTCGTGCTGTGGGTGAAATCCCTGCAACAGCTTTTTCCACTTGGACTTTTGCCACGGGACCATGTTCCCAGGGCCAGGGCAGCAATTCAAAAACAGGCCCGATTTGAGCGGTGAGCCCGTCGAAATCAGAGCCATGCAATGAACGCAGACATATAAAGTGGAATGATCAGAACAAGCTAGTCCGACAATCGAGTGATTGTTGGCTCGGACTATGTCAAAATCCAGCCCAGGGGCGGGCCCCGTGCACTTCCTAGGCGGGGGAATGGGACGCGCTCCGAACCTGAAGGTGAACATGGCTCTGAATGCCTCGAAGCAGACTGTGCGCCGCCAGAATCTCCCAATCCTGGAAAAAGAGCACGCGTCTGAGGCCACAGCAGCAGCCCTGGAGCGGTCGGGCTTAACATACTCTACCTCACCATGCTCCTTGAGAGAGGGGAAACGGGGCAACAGTTTCATCGCCATCTTGCAACAAGCTTCATTGTTCTTGATGCGCAAATCGGTTTCTTCTAACACATCGCGGTCCATGGGATGCATCAAAACCGCGGCCTTAGCTCCTAAATCCGCAAGACGGTTACCCGTCCTGCGAAAAAAACTTCATCATCAGACAAGCCGTCCTCGTTTAAACTGAGATGGGCCTTGATCTTGACCACGTTTTCCAAAAACGCATGGGCGACATCAGCCCTGGCTTGGACGATATGTCCAGCATATGCCTTACGAAAATGCGCTTGCAAGTCTGGCGCGGCCTGGTAATCGTTCACCACATTGGCGCAATCAGACAGACTGGAAGCAGGGCCCTTGAGGCACATTACTGAACCAGTACAAGCCGAATATTCAGCTGCTTGAGGTGACTGTGGGAGTGGCGGATGCACTGGGCATCGGATCTCGCAAATGCGCACCCCGTTCTTAAAAGCATTGCAACTCCATCCTGCGCGGCAAAGCTCTCGGATGGGATGCCGAGTGCAAGAGCCACCAACAAAAATGCCACCTTCCAGCGAAAACTCGTCAACAGGAGGATCGACGAACCATTCGGCAACCCAGGGCCCAGACGCCAAAGGACCAGGATAGACGTCCCCGGGATGAGGTAAACCTCCACGAGTGACCGAGAACAGCAAATTTCGATTCGTAACATGGCCGCCGATGCTCTCAACTATTTCTCGGCCAACAATCTCGAGACGTTCTTCAGCGAGAGCAGGGCATTTCCATATCCTGTGATACAAAGTGCCTCGGCACCCGCAGCCCAAAGGGCACTCCTCAGGGTACTGATAATCCTTCCCGCGGGCATGCACGCGGGTCCAGAGGGCCCCAGACGCCACCGCACGAAGAGTCCCCTTTTCCAAAGGGGTGTGCTTTTTGGACCGTAAGTGCCGAGCAACAATATCGAAACAAACCCGATCAGGAAAACCACGACGATCTCCAATTCGTCGTTCGAGTTGCCGAAGCACCGCTTCCTTAAGCTGGAGCCTCAACATGCCTGGTGACAAAAGCACAAGGGAAAACTCATGGCCTTGATCAGTCACAAGAGTAGCGAAATTCTTGACCGTCCCGCCGAGGCGACGGAGGGAATACCGAAGGGCCGAAACGGGGCCCGCGACTGATCGCCAAGTTGTCCAGGGTTGGGCAAAAACCAAATCGAAAGCGGACCTTAATTGCTGGAAACTCAGGGCGGAGGGGTGGACACGCATCCGAGCGTTCCAAATCTCTTTAGCCCAACGCAGGATGGGGGAAACTTGAACGAGCCAAGTGGGGTCCTCCTCAAGAAGCAATAAAATCGAGAGGCTCCTGTCCCCAGCCCTAGGTTTCAACGCAGAGGCGAAACTACGTCTGAGACCGAGGAGTTCTCTATCACTGATGCCGTGCACTTCGGAGGCATAAATGGCAGCCGGCAGC